CTTGTCTCTTCAGGCTTCTTTTTATTCCCAAAACTCAAAAAACACTAAAAAGGAACATGATTTTAGTCCCCCAATAATGCCTCTAAGAGAAAAGCCCCTGTGGTTTTGATGTGGTGCAAATTGAAGAGCGCAGACTTAGTAAGAGCTATATAATCACTGCCTTCGAAATGTTTAGACTTGGGTGGAGGATATGTCAAGGAACAGTAGCTTAACATTTTAGGTTTCGTTTAATAACTTTTTTTATGGTTTTGTAGCAATATTTTTTACATACCCTCATAATGATATTTTTCTTAATAAGTTCAACATTCAAACTCTCAGGCAGTTTCTGTTGACTTGAGTTTTTTCCCGTGTATTTGCTATTCTTTCCTATTTTTTTGTGTCTTATATTTTCTTGAAAAGTAGATGTTACAAATACTATAATGTAGAAACTCTGGGAATCAATCACCACCCCACATTCCCAGTGTTTGTTATTGCCATTTGTTGTTTTGCTGATGCTGTTACTGTTTTTTTTAGTATCTTTTCTAGACCAATTATGCAATGTACATTCTTTGCCCTGTGCAGTCACTGATAGCTTAATGGTCAGGTAATGAACAGACGGATTTTCTTAGATACCTAAATTAGTGAGTCTCACACCTTACCATGGAGCCCTGTGTCTGTGTTAGAGCTCCACTGAAAGGTTCTGGCAGTTTACAACTCTGCCTTAACCTTCACCTCCTCCTTGCATAGTACCTCAAGGACAGGCATTAGGATTTCTCAGGTCATACCAGGAAAAGTACACAGCCCTGCACATATACCTGACTTTCTGTTGTTGTTAGGTGCTGTCAGGTTGGTACCAGCGCATAGTAACCTGGTGCACAACAGAATGAAACACTGTCCTACAATAACCTCACCATCGTTGCTGTGTTTGAGCCCATTGCTGCTGCCATTGTGCCAATCCATCTTGTTTGGGGTCTTCATTTTTTTATCTGACCCTCCACTTTATCAATCATGATGTCCTTCTCCAGGGACTTGTCCCTTTTGATACTCTGTTCAAAGTATCACCATCCTGACTTCTAAGGAGCATTCTGAGTATACTTCTTCCAAAACAGGTTTGTTTGCTCTTTTGGCAATCGGTGGTACTTTTAATATTCTCCTCCAACACCATACCTTAAATACATCAATTCTTCTACAGTCTTCTTTATTCATGGACCAACTTTCATATGTATTTGATGCTCTTGAAAATACCATGGTTTGAGTTAGATGCACGTTAGTTCTCAAACTGACATCTTTGCTCTTCAACACTTTAAAGAGGTCTTGTGCAGCAAATTTGTCTAATGGAATACATCATTTGATTTCCTGACTGCTGCTTCCATGAGAGCTGATGATTGATCTGAGCAAAATGAAGTCTTCGACAGTTTCAGTCTTTTCTGTTTATATGGATGTAATTTTTTGGTCCATCGGCGAGGATTTTTGTTTTATTTATATTGAGGTACAACTCATGTTTAAGACTGTGGTCTTTCATCTTCATCAGTAAGTATTTTAAGTCCTTTTCACTTTCAGCTAGCAAGGATGTAGCATCTCCATATTGCTGCTTGTTAATGAGTCTTCCTCCAATCCTGTTGCAATGCTCTTCTTCATATAATCCAGCTTTTTGGATTATTTGATCAGCATACAAATTGAATAAATATGGTGAAAGAATACAACCTTGGTAAACATTTTTCCTAATTTTAAATTATTCATTGTTCCCTTGCTCTGTTCAGACAACTGGCCTTTTGTGTATGTACAGATTCCTCATGAGCACAATTAAGTGTCATGGAATACCCATTTTCCACAATGTTGTCCATGGCCTGTCATGTTCCACTTAATCGATAGTCTTTGCATAGTCAATAAAGCACACATAAATAAATATCTTTCTGATATTCTCTGCTTCCAGCCAAGATCCATCTGATGTCAGCAATGATATCCCTCATTTGACGTCCCTGTGTGAATCCGACTTAAACCTCTGGCAGTTCTCTGTCAATGTACTGTTGCAGATGTTTTTGAATTATCTTAAGCAAAATTTTACTAGCATGTAATATTAATTATATTGTCTAATGTATCATTTCCACATTCTATTGGGTCACCTCTTTCTGGAATGGGCACAAATATGGATTTTTTCCCAATCAGTTGGCCAGGTAGCTATCTTCAAACTTTCTTGGCATAGATGAGCAAGTGCCTCCAGTGCTGTATCAGTTTGTTGAAAATTTTCTATTTGTATTTCATCAATTCTCAGAGCTTTGTACTTTACCAATGTCTTCAATTCACCTTGGACTTCCTTCAGTATGATGAGCTCTTGATCATATGCTACCTCTTGAAATGTTTGAACATTGACCATTTCTTTTTGGTACAGTGACTCTGTATATTCCTTCCATCTTCTTTTGATGCTTTCTGCATCAGTCAATATTTTGCTCATAGAATCCTTCAGAACTGCAAGCTGAGGCTTGAACTTTTTTCTTCAGTTTCCTCAGTTTGAGAAATGCTGAGCGTGTTGTTACCTTTTAGTTTTCTAACTAACTATTTGCATATTTCTTTATAATATTTGACTTTGTCTTCTTGAACTGCCCTTTGAAATTTTCTATCCAGATCTTTACCTCCTCATTTCTTCTGTTTGCTTTAGACTCTATGCTAGAGAGCAAGTTTCAGAGTTTCTTCTGACATCTATTTTGGTCTTTTCCTTATTTCTTTTTTTCTTAATGACTGTTTGCCTTCTTCCTATGTGATGTTCTTGATGTCATCTATGGTCTTATGTCAGTAGTGTCTAATTCATCAAATCTGTTCTTGAGATGACTTCTAAATTCAGGTAGAATATGTTCAAGTTCATATTTTGGCTCTCATGGACTTGTTTAGGTTTTCTTCAGCATCAGCCTGAACTTTCATATGAGCAATTGATGGTCTGCCGCTGGCCTTACTTTCACTGATGATATGGAGCTTTTCCACCGTCTCTTTCCATAGATGTAAGTCAACTTGATTTCTGTATATTCCATCTGGTGAGATCTATGTGTATAGTCTTCTTTTATGTTGTTTAAAAGAGGTATTTGCAATGAACGAGTCATTGGTCTTACAAAATTCTATCATGTGATCTCCAGTATCGTTTCTGTCACTAAGGCCATATTTTCCAAGGACTGATCCTTCCTCTTTGTTTCCAGCCTTTGTATTCCAATCACCAATAATTATCAATACATCTTGGTTCCATGTTTGATCAATTTCAGACTGAAGAAGTTGGTAGAATTCTTCAATTTCATCATCACTGGCTTTAGTGATTGGTGCATAAGTTTGAATCATAGTGATATTAACTGGTCTTCTTTGTAAGCATACGGATTTTATCCTATCACAGACAGCTTTAGCTTTATACTTCAGGATAAATATTGAAATGTCCTTTCTCATGATGAATGCCACACCATTCCTCTTCAATTTGTCATTTCCAGAGTAGTAAACCATGTGATTGTCAGATTCAGAATGGCCAATACTAGTCCATTTCAGCTCACTAATGCCTACAATATCGATGTGTAAACATTCCATTTCATTTTTTACAAGTTCCAATTTTCCTAGATACAAACTTTGTACATTCCATATTCTGATTATTAGTGGATGTTTACAGCTGGTTCTCTTCATTTTAAGTTGTGCCCCATCAAGAAATGAAGGTCCTGAAGAGTTTACGCCATTTGCATCATCACTGTCAATTCTACTTTGAGGAGGCAGCTCTTCCCTAGTGGTATTTTGTGTGTCTTCTATCCTGAGGGGCTCATGTTCCAACAATATATCTGATAGTATTCTGCTACTCTTCATCATGTTTCAATATTCAAATTTCTAGTGCTATCTGACAGTGTTTCACTGTTAAAATGTTTTCAGTGACTAAAATATTCAAAGTAGTCTGTTTCTCCTTCTTTCTAGTCTGTCTTAATCTGGAAGCACAGTTGAAACCTGTCTACCATGCATGATCCTGCTGGTATTTAAAATATGGGTGGCACAGATTCCCAAATCACAGCAACACACAAGCTACCACAGTACAACAAACTGACAGATGAGTGGCAGTTTGACCATCTAGTACTCAGAAATATAGCAAGGCTTATTGAAGTCCCCTATGAACATCTAATTTCTAAGGGTTTTTTGGCCAGTCACTAGTTTATCCCAATTGACATGATTTCCTCATACAGCTAAGATGTTAGACAATTGTGGTTGGGTTTTTTGTTTTGTTTTTATCCAACAAATGTCCTAGAGATAGGACTCTTCAATAAAGACAAGTCCCATGAATGGGACTTTACCAGTAAGTTTTCAAACAGATTAAATAGTGTACTTTCTGACCATGGAGCTTTTGGGGGAACTCCAAAACCATTCTGTTCACTCCGCTGGCTGCTTGGCTGCTGGTTTTCATAGCTACTGTAATTTTGCAGCAACTGGTTTTCAAGGCTGTTGTGGAGCTAGGGCGAGAAGAGATGAGAATAAGACCTGTTGCATTGCAAGAGAAGCTTGCTATTCTTACTGAGATCCAGCCATTTTTCTAGAATAAATGCTCTTCAGGTTCTTGTAAGTCTTTGGTTAACTTCCAAAGCTTTGACAGTTTTTTCAGTATTCATACTGCTTTCATGGAGGACAGTGGGTTTTCAGAGGTCCTTATTCCACCATTATCATTAACAATGCTTTTCCTGTTAATATATTCTTAGTATACAAGAAAACAGTGATTGTGATAAAATATTCACAAACCATACCCCAAAGAATAAAACTCGTTGACTTGACACCTGCTGACATGCTAGGCTCTGGTGGACACTGGTCGAAGTGGTACAGAGCTTCCTCTGTTCTGTCCAGCTTTACGTGGCCTGTCAGAGTGCCCATAAATCATTCTCATGTAACCCTCTAAGAGAAAAGTACCTCACATAGAGAATCAGAAGCTAATCCACTGGTTCTAGGGACCAGAAGGAAGTGCATGTTGCATTGATAGTGGTGATGGTGATTGTATATCATGTCAACTTTTTCTCCGGTGTCAGGAGTTCTTGCTGAAGATTTTCTGTGTGTTCCGGAACCTGATGAAGATGAGTGTCTTCCCTCGGGATTGGATGGTGCTGCGGCTGCTCACAAGCAAGTAAGTATGGAAGAGTGCTGCACCTATTGCCACAGAACTGTTCTCAGACCAAGGAGAGTATGTGTGAGAGAGAGAGAGAGAGAGGAATAAAAAAAGCAGGGATGAGAGCTAAGGCTATGAGTTCAGAGAAGAGAGGGTGGATGAGAAAATATTTGAAGACATAATAAGACTTGAACATTGACTATAGGTACAAAGAGAGAAAAAAGAGTTAAAAATGGTTTAGAAATGGAACCTGAGTACCTGGTTGTTTAGGTTGCTCATAGTACGGGTAGAAACAGAAACATTAGGCTGTAAAATATAAGATCCAAAGAAGAAGCCATCCTAGAGGAAGGCCTGCTCAGTGGTCAGTTGACCTTTGCTGCCTCATAGCATTAATCAGTGTCCCAAGCTCCCTCTCAATTTGATTTGTGTTGTCACTAGACATTGCTTACCTCCCACCATTAGTGCTAGTTACCTACCTGAGACCTAGCTGTGGAGTTCAGAACACTCCTGATTCTGGCCACAGGATTCGCTGTAAGGAATAGCCTCAACCTGCCTGCCCATTCATATTCCCAGCTTATACTTCCCCTGAGCAAACTAACAGAGTGATACAGATGATAGGAACTGACTTACCGCTTGACCTTCACTTTATAGTCAACTGCTTCATCCCATTGATCTGCCTTTTAAGTTGGCATACAAAATGTAGTGAAATTATTTATGGTCAACAATACTGGGATAGTCTTTCTACTTCGTACATTTTATAGAGTGCCCTTTTTTCCCCCCAAACTGCAAACAAACATTGTTTACAGAACAGAAGAGAAAAGTGGTTATGAACAAAGTTGCACAGAATTGTCATCAAATAATATATTCTCTGTTTGAATCCCTCTAGTTTATTAACTTTACACAGAACACGCTTACCTATCCTGCAGTACTAGTATTTTTCAAGATTTTTACCCTTCAAATGTGTTACTCCTCTACTGGTGAAGTAATCACTCTAATGCTGTTTTTGCCTGTCCTCCTTCTGTACCACAAGTCCCAGTGTCCCCTTGCTGAGTAACCAAGTTCTCTATAATCTAGTCCTTACCTACCTGCCCCACTTGACTTCTTCTCCGCCTTAGTCCATTCCCTGGATTCCAACAGACTAGTCTTTCTGTTGTTTTGGTTTTTGTTAAGTGTCGTCAAGTTGGTTCTGACTCATCATGACCCTGTATAGGGTTTCCAAGGAGTGACTGGTGAGTTTAAACCACTAACTATATGGTTTAAACCAACATTACAGTCCAGCATTTTATTCCCTATCAAAGACTTAAATCAGATGATTCATAGATTAAACTAATGGCATACCAAAGTGTATAAACCCTATTTTCAAATACAATTATACCCTAAGTCCTACATATTAGCCATAATATATGTTGGTTACACAAAAGTAATAGAATCACTTTAAATTGGAAGACACTTTAGGAAACTATTAGACCTTATCCCCTACTGAATTTCTGTTAAGGGTGGTGAAAAAATTGGGAACAGGTAGTAGTGATAATTGCTCAACATAGTGAACATAATTAATGTCACTGAATTGTACACATAAAAATGGTTGAAATGGTGAATGTTTTGTTATATACACAGGCGGTTCAGAAAGTTCATGAAAAAATTTCATTATCTTTTAATTCTGTTTTCTACAAATTTTTTGAAGCCCCTTGTTATAACTCTGAATATACTAAAAATAATTGAATCGTACACTTGAAGTGAGTGAATTGCTTAGTATGTGAATTATATCAATATGTCTGCTAAAAGCAATATGTCTGCCAAAAGCATTATGTGTATTTCATCAACATAAAAATTTTTAAACCTTCCTTTTACGGGCAGGGAAACAGACCCAGAGATAAGAAGTATGGAGGCCAGATAATAACCTATCTCAGTCTAGAACCCTTTGCTGTCCCACTTATGGGGCATTTCTCTGAGACTAGTCTTCTGGGGGATTTGTACCATCTATCTCCTCCCCTTAAAGTCACATCATACATGGACTCTTACATGAACTGTACTTGAGAAGTTGGTGCATAAGCCATAGCTAACTGATGTTAATCTGCCGTATGCCATTGTGAGTCTTTTAACTCTGCCAATGCTTTGTTTCCTTACTGTAGTATTATAGTCACTACTGTCCAGTACCTGTCCTCAGCACTGCACAAGAATTTTACAGAGACAGACTTTGACTTTAAGGTAGGAATTCAATAAATATGTCACTAACTTTATAACAACCCTAGAAAACCAAAATCAAAGCTCATTGGTTTTTGGCTTATTAATATATTCATAGTTTCAAACAGCTTCCAAACCTGATATAAGAATATGGCCTGGGAACTCTTCTGTTGGCAGTTTTGGGAGGCATGTAGACTACCAGAGTCAACACTACTGGCTCAGAAGAATCTCCCCCACTCCCCTGAAAGGAAAAGTCCTATTGGAATGGGTATTTTAAGAAGAAATATTTTTTTTAAAAGAAAAGGCAGAATCTTAAGATTGTAAAGTAGGCTCTATATAACATACATATATTTAGAATCTTTCCTTATAATGCTAAGGGCTGAGATTGTCAAATGTTTCCTGTTTCTCTGTCTTTCTAGGTGTGGAATTCTTATTTTAGCTTGGCAGTTCTGTTCATAAATCAGCCAAGCCTCCAGCTAGAGATTGTCACTTCAGCCAAGAGGAAGAAGATCCTAGATAAGTAAGACAGATGTCTCCTATTTACCGCCTACCTCATGCCTAGATGGGGATATATTTCCATGGGACACTGCGTCAGAAGTCCACAAGTTTCTCACCTGGATAGCTTCCCAGGGGGCTGAGTGTGACATTCCCAGAGCAGTATTTTTGGCAGAATCCTTGCGTTGCCCTCAAGCCTAGGAAGCACTAGAAACAAAACAGTTGCAAAGTATGAGCCTTACTGCATTTGCAGTCCTCTCTTCTTGAACATACTCCCACTAACATCTGGTTTCTGTTTCTTTTCTCAGGTATGGGGACATGCGTGTGATGATGGCTTATGAACTGTTCAGCATGTGGCAGAATTTGGGTAGGTCTTTTCTCTGTATTTTGACCTTCTGTATAGTCTGTAATCAAAAAGTGACATGAGTGGTAACTTTCCCCAAGTTTTATGAATGTAAATTCAGATCCAGGATATTTTCGCATACCTTTAATATAACATTGCAGGTGGACATAACAGATATGCCCAAAGCCCTGGACAATATTTGGGCTGAGAAATAAAACCCCAGAAATACATACGTACAGTCTTTTCTTTGAGGATGAAAATTAAGAGGAAAAATAAGAGGAGGGCTCTAGTAATTTATGCAAACTTGAAAACTGATGCCTTGATATCCTCCATGTAAGTCATGTCTCAGGCTGGATGTTTTAGACTCAAAAGAGTAGATCTTAAATATATGCAGCACATGAAAAAGGACAGACATTCGTTATAATAAAGTTTGAAACACTTCTTGGGTCTCTGGTATTTAAGCATCCGGGTCAGGTGCCTGACACCAATTACATCAAGGAACTTGTGCTAAGGGAATTGTAGCCTCTGGGTGAGGTTAATTTTGGCTTTCACAGATTCTTTTCACAGCATTTCTAATGCAGCTGCTTTTGAGTCTGAAATTCTCAGAGCAGTGTTTTTTTCAGAATCCTTGGGTTGTCCTTGAGACTGAGTGGGCCTGTGGGATGCTAGAAAAATTACTGTTACTGTTCCAAGTGAGGTTGGCTTTCAGCTGAGTTCAAGGCTATGAAACCTTAGGAGTGATGATGGCAAAGTCATGTAGTCCTCCAGCCACCAACCCTTGAGGCAGCAAGCAAGTTGCAAGACATCCTTTCTGGCACTAGGACTTTCCATCCCTGAGTGGGGCTGCATTACCCTGGGCACACTTTCCAGCTTCATTCAGTCCTCTCATTATTCTTGCACCCCATCAAGCTTTGTTATAGATTCTAATCCTGAAGTTAACTCTGAAAATTCCTAGGGATGAAGGAGATTCAAAAGTGCACCACATCCTAAAATTGGAATATCCAGAATCAGTCTCTGGGCTAACATTTACACCTTGGGTAAGCTTTCAAAATGGTAGGAATCAAAAAAGATGATGAATTTTCCTAATTAAGTCATACCTGCCTCATTACTTTTGGTGTAAATATCATTCATTCTCTGGTCCTTGAAAACTTGCTATGCTTGTATGTAACAATCATTGCACAGGCCCAAATTTTATGCCCTTCTTAGTCTCTGAGGGATTGAAAGTAATGCTGAAGATGGTTCACCATAAGGAAGAGGAAAGTCCTGTCCTATGGTCCTCAGGGAATCCCTAGGTAGCATAAATGGTTAGCACACTTGGTTGATATCTGAAAGGTTCAAGATCACCCAGAGGCACCTTGGAAGGAAGACCCAGCTGTCTACTTCTCAAAAAAAGTCAGCTATTGAAATGCTATGGGGAGCACAGTTCTACTCTAATACACTTGGGTTTGCCATGAGTCGGTATTGACTCCAAGGTAACAGATATGGCCCTCAGGGATGACCCTGACTTTTAGAAATATATCGAACAGTCAGATGGCAGACCATTCAGAAGAGGAACCTATATCAACCTTTCCCAGAGAAAAGTCTCATGAAGGAAGTTGAGGAATAAATTCAGCTATTCTGAGTAGGTGTCTGGATGCCAACAGAAATGCAATATGAAAATAAGGGGTAGGGAATGGCAAAATGAGAATCTCTAAGTCAGCTTTTGGGGGTGAGAGTGTGTGCAGGAGGCTCCTGATAACTCAGGAGGAAGCTACTCGATGTATTAGAACAACCTCATGGACTCCAGACCTTTGGTAGCTGGACCAGGGACTGGATATCCTCATCACTTAAATGACTCCAAGCTAAAAGTAGAAACACTTGACATAGTGCATTTTTAAGTAGACCATCTGAACTGTAGCTGGTTGCTCAGAAATCCCGTTCTGTTAAAGTGGAGAATTCTATTTGTTGACTTCAGAGAGATTGTTCAGGTAGCTGTTCCTGGGAGAAAGTTCTTTGGAAAGGCATTTTTATACCTACTGAACACTTGCTTGAACTCAGATGGGCCCATTTCATACATGAATTCTAAAAAGTCAATAGAAGGAATATCTCAAAAAACCATTGGGGAAAACTTGTTTTGCTCTCAGAAGCTTTCAGTGAAATTAGCATATACTTGGGAAGGATCAAAGCAGGCATGAACTAATAACTGTTGGGTTTTGTTGTTCAGGTGAACATAAGATCCACTTTATTCCGGGAATGATTGGTCCTTTCTTGGGTGTGACACTGGTCCCACAGCCAGAAGTACGGAATATCATGATTCCCATCTTTCACGACATGATGGACTGGGAGCAGAGAAAAAATGGCAACTTCAAACAGGTGAGATGATTGCTGGTAGGGTTCAGGGTGCTCTCCTCTGGGATGTACCCCTTCTGCTCAGCCCAAGTGTCCAGGCCAGGGTTCCAGTGAGGACGAGGGATGGCTTGGCCATTTGAATCCTGTGCAAGGGTTTACCACACTAGCTGGCCTGAACTGATTGATGAATTTTCTTGAGGAAGTTAGAAGCCAGGAAAGAATCAGAGGAAAATAATGGACATCATGTGAAAGGACCTTTCTGATCACGGGAAGAGTGACTATAACTTTCCACCTACCTTAGCAGAGCACCCCAGGAGCTCATTGTTCTTCCTCTCCTGAGAACCTCTAGTGTTCACTAGGCATTTCTTGGGCCAGAGACCAGACCAGATGATTTTTCATGACTCAGAATAGCCTAAGATTACACAGGCTCCTACACAGAAGGGCATGTTCAGGAGTTGCAAACCCTTGGCTTTTGACTGAGTGGCTTCAGGTCACCCTTCTGTGCAGTTCTTCTATAACCTCTAAGGTCTGAGGAATAGAGCTAGGACCAGTAAGAGTCAGTAATAGGGAAGCTGATTTTAGCTAATAAAGGAAATACACTGCTAGCAACAAGATCTGTCCACTGTTAGCTATACTGCTTTGGGAGATGAAGCGTTCCTCTTTGCAGCTGGGCCTCAAGCAGAAATTCCCAGGAGAGTTTTAGGGGAAATTCCTACACATTGAGTTGGGGATTAATTGGTTCCTTGCTAAGCTACTGCCCAGCCTTATGATTCTAGGATGAACCAGTTTTCTTAAAATGAATGATTGTAACAGTTAGAGTCAACCAAGCAAACAGTACATTTTACTCTTTTTTTTAAAAAAAAATTTACATCACAGTAGATTTCACTTTTTGACTTATAGTTCTGTACATCTTGACAAATGCATAGTCATGCAACCACTGCCAAAAGCTATTTTAAATTCCTAATTATTTTATTTTGCTGTCCCTTTGAGATCAAACCTTCCCTCTCCCCTTAACTTAACGGCAATCAGTGATCTGTTCTCCATACTGTATTGCCTTTTCCAGAATATCATGTGAACAGAATCACGTAGAGTGTATCCTGCTAATAAGACTGGCTCCTTTCGTAACATAATACCTTTTAAAGATTCATGCATCCTGTTTCAATAGTTTCTTCTTTCTATTGCTGACTAGTTTTCCATTATATTAATATACCACAATTTACCTATTTGCCATTTGAAAGATATTAGGATTATTTCCACTTTTGGGTGATTATGAATATATCTGCTATAAACATTTGTGTAAAAGTTTTATATGAACATGTACTTTTAGTTTTCTTGGGTAAATCACTAGGAAAGGGTTGTTTGGTTTTAAGATAAATGTATATTTAACTTTGTAAGCAACTACCAAACTTTTCCAAAGTGGCTATACCATTTTGAAGTCCTATCAGCAGTGTATGAGAGTTCTAGTTGCTCTACATCTTCGTTAGTGCTTAGTGTATTAGTTTATTTATTTTAGCCAAATATGATAGGTGTGTAGTTGAATCTCATTATGGTTTTAATTTCCCTGTTAGTCATTTTCTTAATGACTAAGGATTAATGATGTGCCAATTTACCACCTTGCTATCTTCATTGGTAAAGTGATTCTTCACATGTTCTGCCTGTTTTCAATTGTGTTATTTGTTTTCCTGTTGTTGAGTTTTGGAAGCTCTTTTTATATTATTGATAAAAGTCCTTTGCTGAATGTAAGATATGCAAATATTTTCTCTTAGTCTTTAGTTCGTCCTTTCATTCTCTAAACAGTGTCTTTCACAGAACAAAATTTTTCATTTTCGTGATGTCCAATTTATCATTATTTTCCTTTTATGGATCATACTTGTGGAGTCATATCTGAAAATGTGTTGCCTAGCCCAGAGTCATAAGTATTTTATTCTTTGTATTTTTTCTAGAAGTTTTATGATTTTACATTTAGGTCTGTGTTCCATTTTGAGATAATATTTGAATAAGGTATGAAGTATGGAACAAGACTTATTATTTTGCATATGTCTAATTGTGCTAGCACCTTTTGTTGAAAAGGCTAGACATTTTCTTGAACATCTTTGCACCTTTGCCAAATTTCAGGTGATCATATTTCTGTGGGTCTCTTTCCATTGGCGATATATCTATTCTCTTACCAATGCCACAGTGTCTATAAAGTATGTTAATTTTATATTTAGTCTTAAAATTAGGTAGTGTGAGTCCTTTAACTCTGTTCTCTTTTTTTTTTTAATGTTCTATTGTTCTATTAACTGTTCTAGTTCTTATTCTTTTTCCTATAAATTTTAGAATTTGCATGTCAACATCTGTAAAATTCAAACTGGGATTTTGATTGGGATTGTATTGAATCTGTAGATTAAATTGGGAAAAATTAATATCTTAACAATATTGAGTCTTCTAGTCCATGAAGACAGTAGTATATCTCTCCATTTATTTAGATATTCTTTGATTTCATATAGTGTTTTATAGTTTTAGCATACAGATCTCACATACTATGTTGTTGGATTTATATGTAAGTATTCCCTGGGGTTTGGTACTATTATAAATGAATCTGATGTTTGAATTTTGCTTGCCAGTTATTGATTGCTAGTATATAGAAAAGCAGTATGTTTTTGTTTGTTGGCCTGTCTTGATCTTTGCAAAACTTGCTTTTTAGTTCTAAGAGCTTTTTTATAGATTCCTTGAGATTCTGATGTTTAGGCCATCATGTCTTCTGCAAATAGAAACAGTATTACATATTTCGTTTGATCTGTCTGCCTCTCATTTCTTTCTCTTGTCCTATTGTATTAACTAGGACCTTCACTATGATGTAAATAAAGGTGATGAGAACAGACATTTTGTCTTGTTCTTGATTTTAGGGAAGAAGCATTCAGTCTTTGATCATTAAGTTCCATGATCTTATAGTATTTTTAGAGAGGCTCTTTATTACAGGTAAATAATACTGAAGACATCTTTTCAGGAGTGTGTCTGTGTAACTGGGAAATAATAACTTCAAACAGAAAAGAGCTATTGCTTTTTACTGTTACTACAACCTGTGCCTTCAATTGTGCAAAATACCTAGTCTGATGAGATACCCAGTCATCAAGAAGTGGTTGACACTGCAGAACTGTACCATGGGTCATCTGAGTCTACTGAAACAAAGACTGCACTGTATCTCACACTACTAACACTGAGAGAAGTTTAGCTTTGTGGGAAGAGTAAGGCTGGTGTTAGTTTTGTTGCACACATCAAGACTCAGCTGATAGAGTGTATCTTCCCCCCAGTAAGTCTGTACTGAATGATTTAGTTGGCTTGGTGTAGAGTAATCATTCAGTGACTATTGTTGCTACTTCCCTTTGCCTTCAAGTATTTTAAAATAATGACCTATAATCTTCTGATTCCTCTTTTTAAAATGTCGCAATTTCTCCTAATAGCCTCTTCTTTTCTAGTACTTCAAGGGAGATGAAGCGATGTCCTCATATCCTCCCACCACCAGCTCCTTTGGATAGTACAGAGGTTCTTATATTTGAGAAGGCATCAGAATCACCTAAAGGGCTTTTTAAAATACAGATCGCTGGCTCTTCCCTTATCCCCAACCCAATTTCTGATTTGGTAGGACAAAGGCCAATTTGTAGCAAGGTCTCTGGTGAAGTTGATGCTTCTGGCCCAGGGTCCCACTTTAAGAATGCTTCAGACTCCAGTGAACTACTTGCATGCCTATATACATAGCTGTACTCTGCCTGCTGCTCCAGGTTCACTCCCTACCTATGTTCTCTTCTGTGCTGGGTATCCCAATTTACCTATCTCCTCATATGTGAAGAGAAATCCTTGTTCTTACAGACCCTTATTCCTTTGTTTATTTGTATTCTTTTGTTTTGTTTCAATTCCTGCTCCTAATGACCCTATAGGGGAAAGTAGAACTGCCTCCCTACCTGCTTCCTCACTTTGAAGGTTTGTTGCCAGCTGATTGACCAAGCTTGGTGGGACGAATTCCAGGCCCAACTTTAGGAACCCTAGTGGCACTGCGGGTTGGACATTGGGCTACTAAGTGTAAAGTTGACAGTTAAACCCACCAACCACTTCTGGGAAGAGAGATGAGGTTGGCTGCTCCCTTAAAGATTTATAATCTCAGAAATTCTATATAGGGTTACTAATGAGTCAGAATAGCTCAATGACAGTGGCTAAGTTTTTTAGCCCAGAGAGTCAAGTTTTACTAAAGGTAATACAGAAACAGCTGTAAGCAAACATTGACAGAGAACTTCCAGAGGTTCAAGCCGGATTGAGAGGAGGCCGTGGAATGAGGGATATCATTGCTGATGTCCAATGGATCTTGGCTGAAAGCAGAGAATATCAGAAAGATGTTTACCTATGCTTTATTGGCTGTGCAAAGGCTTTCGCTTGTGTGGATCATGACAAGCTATGGACAATGTTGCGATGTGTGAGTATTCTGGAACAATTAATTGTGCTCATGAAGAATCTGTACATGGATCAAGAGACAGTTGTTCAAACAATATGGGAACACAGAATGGTTTAAAATTAAGAAAAATGTGCTACAGGGTTGTAGTCTTTCACCATACTTATGCAACCTTTATGCTGAGCAAATAATACGAGAAGCTGGGTTACATGAAGAAAAAAATGGCATCAGGATTGGAGGAAGACTCATTTACAACCTGCGATATGCAGATGATACCACCTTGCTTGCTGAAAGTGAAGAGGACTTAAAATACAATACTTACTAAAACGAAAATCCTCACCACTGGACCAATAAACAACATTCTTATCAGTGGAGAAAAGATTGGAGCTGTCCAGTACTTCATTCTTCTTGGATCAACCATCAACACCAGCAGCTGTCAAGAAATCAAACGATGTATTGCATTAGGCAAATCTGCTGCACAAGATGTCAGCTTGAGGACTATGGTGCGCCTGAACCAAGCCATGGTATTTTCAGTAACCTCACATGCATGTGAAAGCTGGGCAGTAAATAAGGAAGACCATAGAAGATTTGATGCTTTTCAGTTATGGTGTTGGAGGAGAATATTGAAAGGCTGACAAAAGAACAAACAGATCTGTGTTGGAAGAAGTGCAGCCAGAGTGCTCCTTGGAGGCCAAGATGGCCAAACTTGGTCTCTCATACTTTGGACATATTGTCAGGAGGGACCAGTCGCTGGAGAAGGATATCATGTTTGGTAAGGTGGAGGGTCAGAGAAAAAGAGGAAGACACCCAGCAAGATGAATTGTCAAAGTGGCAGCGTCAATGGGCTCAAGTGTGACAACAATTGTGAGGTTGGCCCAAGAACGTCATTCTGTTGTGCATAGAGTCACTATGAGTCAGTACCAACTCGATGACACCTAACAACAATATCAAACTGTCTGATTTTTCATAACCCCACAGAAGTCCCTGCTGATGCCTCTTCTTTGCACAGAAAGCAGAACTGTATCATCTTGGACTTTCTACTTTCTCTGAAGTGTGTATATTGAAGCAGTTGATTTAGGTCAGACAATAACTAGTATGGTGGTCCCTACCCTGGCCATGTAGTAGACCACTATGAAAGGTACCAAATTTATTCACCTATTCTCATTTTCTGCTGCTGGGATCCTTATTGCTTTCAATAGGGTACTGCCTACAAGTTTCAGATATCCTCCCAATCTAATAATTGAATTTTCTAATTCAGTTATCCTTTGTGTGAGAAAATGCTTCTAATATAGCTGTTATTAAATGTAACCATGCCATAATTTTGTTTATATGAAATATCTATATAAATGTCACATTTTAATGTGTAAGTAGGGGTTTAGGAGATTTTATCTCACGTCACTTACAACTAATTTCTCACCTCAATGTAAATCTACTGAGAACTGTTGAACACCTTTGCAGGCAGAGTAGGACTTTACTAGCAAATGCAGAAAGCCCCAATATTCTGGCAGGGCAGTAGTAGTTACCCCAGCGAGTTAGGTACTAAGGATGCAAGTAGTGGGGGCTGTGTTCTCAGAGGAGAATCTCTGAAGGAGACATTCATATCTTTTCCCAGACTAATATCAGCCATTAGAATAAGTGCCAACCCCCCATCAAGCTCCCTTTGAGTGACTGGTTGGCTGGGTGGGTAAAGTTCTGACTTTACATATATAGTTATATTGTTCATATGCAGTTTTTTAAAGAAAAGCACCTTTCAAAATCCTTTTAGATCCAAAATAATTTTCTCTCCAGGGAATCCTTGATATAGCCTTAGATTGCAGGTAAGGGCATCTGACACTTTTAGACAGATTAGGTATGGCAGGGTGGTTTCTTGTGCTATGAAGATCTTTCTTCACTGAAATTTATTTGGAGCAAAGACAAAATTAGGAAGCACACCAAGATGTGAGAAATCTCCCATCCTCTTGAGCAATTTCCCACCATCCTTACCTATTACTGGGGCCAGATGTCCCATGATCTCTCTAAGGTTGGCTCAGATTTACAAAGTCTCTGCTTCCCTCTAGGTGGAGGCCGAGCTGATTGACAAACTGGACAGCATGGTTTCAGAAGGGAAAGGTGATGAGAGCTACAGGGAGCTCTTCGGCCTGCTGTAAGCTGCTCTAGCCCCTGGGGCCTCATGCAAGGGCTGGGGAGTTGGGGGCAGAGGGTCAGTGAGGGGTATGGTGACAGCTACATTGGGCAGGCTTCTAAGGGTGAGTATCAGGAGAGACCAGTCTATTCCTGGTGGTGATGGTATTCGCTGTGTGTCTGCATCCAGGCTCTCAAGGATCTCCATAATCCGTTGAGAAAGCTCATAACTCTAAGCTCCTAGCTTTTCTGACAGGGAAAGAATTATCGTGAGTCTTCATAGCATGCACTGCATCCAGTCGGTCTGGGTGGGGACTTAACCAGTTTAAGGCTCAAAGTTGGTATTTCAGTGAGGAGGGAAATGTAAATCCCCTTCTGAAAATGGGATTCCTTTTTGCCCTTCTCTGTAAGACAGCACAGTCAGCTTGAAAAATGCTGTCATGGGCTCCTGAATAAGTCATACCCCTTCTCCAGGTCTCAGCTTCCCAGTTTGTAAACTGGGGTTGTTATATGGAACAAAATCAAAGATTCTCCCAGGGCCATCATTCCATGGCTTCTGTTTGAGTTGATGGAGGTCAAGGAACCTCACAGTACTTGTCACAGGGTAAAGTTTAAAAGAGGGATTCATGGTTTTCACATCTTCCCAGGTAGACACTAATGTTCGTTTGTTATTTTTCTTTTTTAAGAAAAAATTACATTTACAACACTGGAATCCCTTCCCATTTTTTTAGTGCCACCTTGAAGACAAACCTATATTTGCTTTACATTTGCTTAGAACTTTACAATGTATACAATGTTTTGACATTTCTTACCTTATTTGATCCTCACAAACAACTGTGAGAAAAGAAAGCAAAAATTATCCTCATTCCTATTTTAAAGGTGATGAAACTGTGCTCAGAGAAGTATCCGCATGCCCTTCCTTATGTGATCAGTAAGAGGCATCTCTAGGAAGCACCCAGGAGTGGATCTTTCTGCCACTCTGCCCATTTTGTTTCGTGAGAAGTCAAACCATAAAATGTAAATTTATTAGTAATTTAAGGCAAAGAAATCTCTGCCTTAGCGCCTAGTAAATGTTATTACTACAATGGAAAAGTTACAAAAATAGCCTGGGATTTTTAATTAACTCACCAGTAGCGTTTCATAAGCTCTTCTAAGATCAGTCCAAGAACTGAGAGCTACAAATAACATGAAGCAACATCTTTTCTAATTTGTATCTTGAAGAAAATGTTTGTACATATACTGGAGAGAGAACAAAGAGTGGACCATAGGCTAATGAGTTTAGAAAAGATTCAATTAAACAAAATTGAACAACGCTCTTTAATGTAGTACTTTGCAAAGGCTTTAATGTGCGAAAAGGTATAGAAAGTTTCCAAAAGGAGGTTGTAGTGAGCAGCATTTACCATACTTGTTTCCTTAGAGAACATCTTTCCCTGTCCTCCGTGATGCTCGAGGTATGCAAAACAAATGTTGGAAAAAGGTGCAGTGGGTTTACCACACAGCTCAGAAGCTAGAGCCAGTAGTTTTGCCTTCTGTCTGTAGCAAAATGGGCCATGTCGGAAGCTCCCATGAAGCCCTGGCCCAGTTCAGGAAGACAGTTGTCATCATAGCAGCAGCGTTGACAGCAACTAAGCTATGGCATGAGTCCCTGGTGCTTCTGGGCTTGCTGTTCTAGGTAGCTCTCATGACCCTTGGGAGAGGCTCAAAGAATCAGGAAAAAAGATGTGTGGAATGAACCCTGGACCTAGGCCCATCATTGAAGCAAGCAAAAAGTGTTCAAGTTATCAACCCCAACAAAAAACCTGTAGGAAGGTAGACCTCAGAAGCAATGTTCTTTGAAGAAGCCAAAAGCTGCCCTGAGGTGCCAGGAGCACAGGTTTGGTTACTGAGAAAAGCCTGGACATTTAGCTCTTGGTACTTGCATATTTTGAGTGGAAACATCCCTGCCAATGGGTAAGAGCAGATATAATTTCTGGACTCTCACTGCCCCATTTGCTGGGCTTCCCAAGCTAGTGAGAGCTTCTTCCTTGGTTTGCATGAAGAAGTTGGTTTGTGTGTTTGCTGAGAATGGCTCTGAACAGTAAGCCTTTTGCCAAATGCAGGCCCATCTCTCAGTGGGCTCTTCCTCAGCTGTTCCTTCAGAACAGTGTACATCTAAGAGGGCTGGGACTTTGAAACCCCTCTCATAGTTCAGTAGCAACCTTAGGAACTTGCACAGGGCAATGGGAGACACATTCATTTGTTGCTGTCAGTTCAGTAACCTCGTTGTCTTTGCTTTCTGCTGCATGGAGTAGAACCCAGCTGTTTGGGCCCTACCCCAGGTAAGACTGCCATATGGTGATTCTGCTGTCTTGAGATCCATCATAGCCCCCATGGGCCCTGGGAGTTCACACACATGCTCAGGGAAGACTTATGAATTGTGCTTACTTCCCCCACCCCTTCAACCAATAGCCTGCTGGAAAAGGTTGAACAGGAAACATGGCGCGAGACCGGCATTTCCTTTGTGACCTCAGTTACCCGCCTCATGGAACGCCTTCTTGACTACAGGTATCTTCTTAGATATCTACTCACCCTCTTCTCCATTAAAGGTACTTTCTCCAGCAAGGACATCCTCCGACCCTAAAACTGAGCCCACATGCCCTTCAGGGAAAGGACTGTTCCCTGAAGTGAGTGTTGAGTACCATCACCCACTAGTCATTAGGAATCTACTGATGGCCAAGGAGAGAAAGGTACCTATGGTAAACCAAGGCTGCCTGGGATCCCCCACTTCCAGATGTAGACTTACCCAGGAGTCATCCCAGAAACATGCAGTTACCTGGCTTTCTATCTAGAAGGGCCAGAGCTCAGAAGAACAAGCACAGCAAGAGGAAAAGAAAAGCTGTCCCTGTAGCAAGGCAAGGGACAGGAGCACGTTCTTAATGCAGACCTTCCTCAGTCATATTGCACATGGGCAAGGACGTGACTCTTGGTAAAAAAATGTAACCTCCATTCTTTGTCTAAAGTCTGTTTCCGTAGGCCTGGCCATGAGCAGATTAGAGGAAACAACCAGTGTGCTTAGAGATCTTTATGCTGTGGTCAATCTGAAAGTTAATGTGGAATTTTGTGTATATATATATTTTTTTTTTTTCATCAAAACCTACTTTCTCGGCCATATGATATCTTTAGAACTAGTCCAAAAGTGACAGTGAAGTGATCACTGCACCTAGTTGCTTTCTCAGAGGGGTTCAAGTGATGGCCAAGGATGACTTGGGATCCTTGAGGAAAGTGAGGAGGAATGGTAAAGACATAAAACCTAGTTCCAATAGTAGTTGTCTCCTTTGTGCCGCAAGATGTACAAGCCCTAAGGACGTGCCTGTATATCAGAAGAGGAGGGTATGTAGGCCACCTGCAGCTGCTTCTGAAGTAGAAGATGCTGCTCTCCTAAGACTTTTGCTATACAGAAGACTCAGGTGTCCAATGAACTAGCCCAGATATAGAAATGGAATTTCTGAGAAATGTAGTCACACCTTGCACAAGTTGTGCCTGTGCAAACTTTACCCCACTTTTTCCTGACCTTTTTGTTGTTGTTGTTGTTGTTAAGTACCATGGAGTCGGTTCCAACTCATAGTCACATATGGCCCTCTGGGGGCCCCTTTTAGAGCAGGAAATACTTTCGATCATGTCATGTCCCCAGCCTCCCCTGTGCCTACTCTTAGATAGGGAAGGGAGCTGGGCAAAGACCTGCAGCTGTTCCTCACTGCAGCATTTACTAAAGAAAGGGTGACCCCATTTTCTGAAGCCTACTTGGTGTAATTCTGTACCGCAACGTTGGTTTGAAACAAGGTCATCAGTTCAAACCCGCCAGCCACTCCTTGGAAACCCTAAACAGGGTCACTCTGAGTCGGAACCAACTCAACAGCACTAAACAACAACCAGAAAGAGCAGAAATTAATTTCTTAAGTTTCAAGTCATAGTTCTGCTTACTTGTTTGATTTCTTTACTAGGATGTTCCACAAGCAACTCAAACTCATGGTCCAAACTAGTTTCATTCTTCATTTCTTGTCTCAGTGATGACACCTATAAAACAAAGCCTAAACACCTCACATGGTATCACAGGCGCTTCATAAACTGGCCTTTCCCTTCTCCTTAGCCCTGTCTCCTGCCCGTCCTGATAGCCATAACGTGAACCCTGCCCTCACAGCATTGCTCCATGTTAACATGAGAGAAAACAGATGATGACTCCCCTCTAGTGAAAATCTATATATGATAAATATACATACATTGCCTCTAATCCCATAAACAACCCTACACAGTTAGCTTTGTGTAGGAAACACAAGTAGAAAGTGCCATTGCTAAGATGTGAATCCCAGTCTTGTCTGACTCAAGAGCTAAGCCCTGTCTCCTCAGCATACTGTCACCATTCTCATCCTTCCCTTTAGGTTTCTCTCCATGTTGTGTGTCCACCCAAGAGAGTGGTCTTCCAGCCCACCCCCTTCAGCAAGGCTTTCCCACTCATGACTCTGGGCACTCCTCTTTCAGAGAATAAATCACCTTAGATGATAGTCATTTGTCACCTGTCTGTCCTCTTCACAGATGAGAATCAACTTCTTTAGGGTAAAGAACTTGTCCTTATTTCTCTGGTCCTGTACGTGGGACCAGCCTGCTGGTAGGTGCCAGTAAATATTGCTTGATTGGATGAACTTACTAGGAAGATCTTACCAGAACCAACTAACTCTTTTCCTCTACCACAGTATAGTTTAGTTCAGCAAGAATTTATTAAGAAAATGTTTGTTGAAAGTTAAAAATATATATATACATCATCACTGAAAATAATTAATAGGTTATATTCCAGAAGAATGGCCTGAAACTACAGTATGAAACTCACAGACTGGCACTGAGGACCTGGGAATGTCAATTTTCCTATTAATTCCAGGTACACAGTGTCAGATACCAGACGCTTATTGGTAACAACTCTATTTCTCTGGTTAGAAAGTAGAGCCTTTAGGAGGGCTTTCTTAATGTCTTGGTACAGATAGAGACAAGGCTGTGGATGTTAAGCTCTTGAGGCTTTAAGTGGGCTCCCTACCTGGAAGAGGCACGTTGTTCCTTTCTTCGGCCTCTGCAGTTGTATTAGGGTTGCCTGGCCACCAGTCTGGGCCACATCCAGCTCACTGCCCACAGATGGGCAGGATGCTTCAGAGGCCTCTTTAAGAAGAGTCTTTCCTGTCAATCTTCCAAAGAAAAATCAAAAAGGGAAACAGAAGCAGTGCCCAGTAAAAGACTTTAAATGGCATATTCTCTGTTAAGTAGCCACATGGATACAAAAAAAGTTTGCTGTTTGCAGTGCATGGGATAGGCATTTGTGGAGCAAAGGTGTGGAGGAATGTCTCTAACATCATAGTGTTGAAGCCAGTGCTTTTCTGTGTAATTGATTGGGTTGTAAAGTTCTGGTTAGGGTTGAACAGAAGATGATGCCTAGTGAATAGTTCAGATGCTTTCTAGAACATACAAATGACTGGTGTGAAGGTGTCCACATAACACCTTGCTGCCTTCCCTGGAGTCAACTTGTTGGAGAAACAGATGCCTCTTACTACTTTGTGGGCTGCTGGAACTAATTGGCCATGTGGCCTCTAGGCTCACCCTTAAAAAGTCATAGCAATTTCCTGGCTCTAAAGAATAACTTCTGCAGAGGAATGTTCAGGATCTTCATGTCTGGCTACAAAGGAGCCAAATGCCATGATTTGTGGGGTAAATATGCTGGTATAGAACCCCAGAAAAGAGGGCTTTGGTTCCAAATGCACAGAGCTGCCAACTCTGACAGTATAGGCCACCATAGTAGAGATTACTTGACTTTGCCTAATGCCAAAGAGAGTAGTAAGTTTTCAGTATCCCATTCTTTCAAATACGTTACCTCAGAGCAGTGCCCCTCCCCCAAATGCTGGGGTGCAACTGGGAAGCTGGGTATTTCTAATTGCTTTCCAGGGGCTCAGAGACTTTGCGTAAGGCTCCTGACTCCCAGCTGTGCTCCACTCTTCACTAGGCCCTGCATCTGAAGCAAAGTCCAGAAACACACTGTCTACCTTGACCCTTGCAGGCTAGAAATGCCCTACTGCCACCTTTCTCTAGAGCTGTTAACAGGCCGCTCACAAGGAACTGGATCTTTGCCAGAGCCATCAGGGTGCTATGAAGGAGAGGCAGCAAACAGATGGCTCTGTGTATAGAAGGCTTTTTGCTAGATTCACCAATTTGGTTCTCATTCTCCTTCATCTCCTTATGCTGGACCTCTGGTTGGCTTTGACCAACCCCCTGTCTGCTTGGGTCCATAGGTCAGCCCTGGCCCCTCCCACACTCAGGCTCTTCTCAACATAAATGCAGGTCAGCCCTTGCTCAAGCTGCCCCGGAATCAGAAAGAAGCTCCAAAGTCACTGTAATGCCTGGTTAAGGAGGACTTCAAAGAAAGAGTGCACATGAATGGGACCCAGAAGAGAAATGCCAATTAAGGAATGAGCATGCTGTCCATGCTGTGGGTGCTGTGGTTACAGGGACCTCAAGCTAGTTCCTGTTAGTGGGCATCCCAACCTGAGGTTTGTTCATTCGAATAAGCCCAGTGATGTTGTAGCTCTGTGTATTGCCCCACTGGCATCTGTTCCTGTCACAGGATGCTTATCTGTGCTCACCTTTCCAGGGACTGCATGAAAGGAGAGGAAACAGAGAATAAGAAGATCGGCTGTACTGTTAACCTGATGGTGAGAGGACATGGGTTCTTCCTTCCATCTGCCCAGTGGAATGATTGCTGTACTGCACTGTGACTGGCTTGACCTCTCTACAATGCATGCCTGTAACTATCTAAGGGTTTGAGCCAGGATATCAACACTGTTACGAATCTCAGAGGCATGCACCTCATCAGACACATTCCCACTCAGGAAAGGAATGAAATGAGCTTCTCAGTGAGCAGAGCTCTAGCTTGGCCTCTTGGCAAGGTCCCACTGACCTTGGTAGCTTTTAGTTCCTGATATCCCCTGATCCACAGTATGCCCTGATGCTTTTCCCCTTTCCTACCACTCAGATCTGCCAGTAATTACTACCTCAGTATGCATTTCTTCTGCCTGCTCCTTTCTCTTTCTGATGCTGTCTGCTACCCAGAATACCCACTGACTGACCAGTTACCTAAGGCTCAAGTAGGTGGCCTCTCTAGGTGGCAGCCTATCACATATTTGTATTTTTCCTTTCTTTTGCAGAACTTTTACAAATCTGAAATTAACAAAGAAGAGATGTATATCCGCTATATCCATAAACTTTGTGACATGCACTTGCAGGCTGAAAACTATACAGGTGAGAGGAAGTGGGTTTAGAGGAGGACAAGGGAAAGCCACACCTGTTTCTGAGGACAGACTGGAGAGGGATATGAACAGCTGACAGAGACAGGCTCAGGATGCTGTCTGCCATATCCCAACAGAGTTCTGGAGCCTTTGTTGGCCCTGTCACCTTGTTCCTTTTCCTCAATTCCTTTGTGGCATGTGGTAGAGAAAAGGCAGACCAAACTTTGACTTGTGACTTCATGCTATCTCCTCCACTGTCTGAAACTGTTCCACTGTCCTTCCCTTCCATCCACCCCTCTGAGTTTCAGAGCATCCTAAGCTCTCAGCCACCCCTCACCAATAGAGCCTTTCTTAGAACCTTTAAAACTGGAGCTAAGTGAGTTCGTAATATGGGAATATCCCCACTCTTGCACTTCCAGCTCTCAATGACAGACTTACCTTGCAATCCAGGCTCTTCCTGGCAAACTGCACAGCAGCCCCATGCTGAGCTCCCAGTGGAGAGCATGGAGAATGTTCATCTGGCTTCTTGACTGGCCAGATGGCACCCTTTGATAGTAGTGTACAGTATATTCTGCTACTAAGACCTTTTCTAACTAGAATAAATTTTGAAGCATTTCCAAGTACCTCTCATATGCAGTTTACTGAGCGTCACACTGATTCAGAACGATGTGTGCATTGCCTGGTCACCTTGTACTGTGGCACACCAAAATTAGCTACCTTCTCTACTGTGGTGACCAGACACTGTTTCTTAGCCCATAAGCCACAGGACTTGAATTTGTGATAGAACAGGAACCAGGCTGTCTTTGTCTTCAAACATTACTAAATCAAGAATTAATTATCTTATAGTGCCAGATCTTTGAGAGGGTTTGGCACAAGTGCCACTCTTTCTGACAACACAGCTTGTCAAGAATTAAATCTAAAATGACTGAGCTGAGTCTGCCATTCTCTACTTACACACATGATCTCAGCAACCCTCTGAGTGAGCAGGAAAGAGACTTTGATAAATTCCATGTATCAACAAAGGCATCTGCTAAACTCCTGGAAGACCAGGCTGTGACTGAAAGAGCGAGTCAAGAATTTGGACAGAGAGTTGGTGCTGCACCTTGTCTCTGGTGGCCCTGGGGATGGCATCTGAAAGATACAGGCAGGTGAATGGATTTCAGGATTTCCTGAGTCCAAGCACCACAGGAGCTTGTCCCCAGAAAGAAAGGGTTTCCTGGGTCTGGTGAACAAGCATATGCATCCCTGGGCAGAAGGATCTAATGGCAAGAGCACAGACAAAGAGGTTGGGATGGGAGCCCAGAAAGTGGCCACAAGCAGGTGAGCCTGGCTAAAACTGGAAATGGGCCATGAAATAATTAGAAATTAGAGTTTTTGTTGGGACCAGGTTTGAGCAGGATCTTGAAGGCCAGGCAGAAGCTAGAACTAATTAATTTGTAAGTAGGAGCTACTTACTAAAAATGAGCAAATAGAATGAGAAAGAGCAAATTATATAATAAGGACCCTGGACAGCAGCTATAATTCATGACTCATCCCTTGGAGTTTAGGGAGCTACTGTATAGCAGAGGAGCTCTGGTAGCATAGTGGTTACCAGTTGGGTTGCTAACCTCAAGGTCAGCAATTTGAAACTACCAGTTGTTCTGCAGGAGAAAGATGAGGCTTTCTGCTCCCATAAAGATTTACAGCCCAGAAGCCCCGTGCAAGGTTGCTATGATTCGAAACCAACTCCACCACATATAACCATCACCACTACTGTATAGCAAGGAGCTCTGGTAGTGTAGTAGATTACGAGCTGAGCTGCTAACCACACGGTCAGCAGTTCGACTCAGCCAGCCTCTCCATTGGAAAAAGATGAGGCTTTCTGCTCCAGTAAAGAGTTTACAGCCTCAGAAACCCTATACAGGGTCTCTATGAGTGGGAACCAACTCAGACACTTAAACAACTAATTGTTCCACAATAGAGTAAGGTGTTGCTGGGCCTCCACCCTGCCATCCAGCATCATTCAGCTTAGGCTTCTTCCAGAAAGGAGCCTTTGGCTCCAAGCCCATCAGGCAGTTGCCATCATTCACACCTCTTCTCTCTGGTGCCTTTTAGAAATGGTAGCGATAAGGGCAAAGGCTCACTCCCAGGGCCATGCTGAGGGCAGAATGTGGACCTGGAGCCATCGAGGCTGGCTTAGTGAAAGTCAACGGAAGCTTGGACAGTCTTCACCCCTAAAAACCATTTCTAAAAAAGTTGGAAAGGAAGCTCTGAACAAAAAAGAATCCAAGACCTCTCAGACGTGTTAGAATCTCCCAAGGCAAGGCAACCTGTGGCAGTGCAGCTTGTGCCCCCTTGTAGAAGTGGCCATGCAGACTTTCTGGGTAGTGCAGCCATTATTTATCTGGAGACCAGAACAGGTGAGCAGACCATAGTGGAAGATTCTACATGGATCTTTGGCTCCTGTGTAATATGGGCAAGGGTTGATGGCTAATAGGGCAGCCCCACTGTCTTTGCCAGTGAATCTCCTTCACTCACCATTGATATCCAATGCCCCTGCCCTGGGCTGTACACACCTTGCCCTGGCATACTGCTCAGCACAGTCTTCTGCCACCAGTCTGTACCTGAGCCCCTTAGGGGGAGCCTCTGGGTGTCCACATTGCCTGTCCCCACAGAGGCTGCGTTTACTCTGCTCCTGTACTGTGAGCTACTACAGTGGGAGGATCGGCCACTACGGGAATTCCTCCACTACCCCTCCCAGACAGAGTGGCAGCGGAAAGAGGGACTGTGTCGGAAGATCATCCACTACTTCAACAAAGGCAAGGTAGGTGTCATTAGTCAAGCCCCTCAGCTTTGACCATGGTATCTGACATGTTGACACTGTAGGGAAGGCAACAGCTGCAGGGAAGGGAGTCTGCGAGTGAGTGGACACCACATGTATGATCATCAGTTTTGGAGGCAGCATGATTTTTCTCTGAAGGGAAAAAAGCAGCAGTATGATTCTGTGGTTTGGAAGCCAGATCCAGATCAGGGGTGACAGAGAGCACCCTACATCCCAGCTCTACACATTGTATAACTGCTAATGTTCTTATAGAATGGACTTCTGGGGTACCATTTATATTTAGTAGACATAAGAATTAATGATGATGTGGCTTTCTAATCGGCCATAGAAAATGTGAGCTACTAGAATTAATGAATTTTAGCTGCAGGCCAAAGGAGGCTTCTACTGCCTCTTTTTTTTTTTTTTCTGTTTTATTGTGAATTATGTGATAGTTTACATGGGAGAATATTAGTTTTACATTTATCCTATTGTATATCAGCGTTTCATTGCCATGGTTACAATCCCCTCCATGCATCATCAACCAACCAAAGGGTATGCCCTGCAAGCTTGCCCCCCACCCCCCAGCCATCAGCACACAGCCCCTCTCCCTCTCTGGATCTTAAGTCCCCAGCTGCTCCATCTCTCCTTGTCATCATCACTGCCTCTCTGAGTAGGGTCCCACTCTCCGCTCTTCTCCCTTGATTGTCCCAGGAACCTCTGCTCCTAGACTGCAAAGTTAATCACTGCCCTCCTTGCTACAAATCGTCTACCTTTACATTTCCAACCCTCACACTCAGTCCTGATAACAATTATTCACTGTTGTATCACAAGAGACCTATCCGCATTTCCTTTCATTAGCCCCGCCTAGATAGATTGGATACCACTTAGTGGAGATTCTACCTTCCTCCACGCCCTCTGGATCTAGGTTCCCTCTTGAAAGCTTGTAAGCCAGTCATTTCTTGCCCTTGTAGCGCACGCCCCCTTCTTTGGGTAGGCAATGTCCAAGTTGCCCATCCCTGTCTACTCTGTGTATGGACGAGGTAGGAATGATCCTTGCTGTAAAGATTTCTTCCCTCTTTTGAGCTACTGCATCCATAGGTGTAGGTCAAGATCATCAGATTGTATCAGATTACTCTTTTTTTCCTCTTCTTTATTCTTTAGTTGAGCTCTGATCATCCAGTCATTGAAGCCAGGTCAAGTGGGTATTATCTGCAAGTTTGGGTGTTCTTGTGCCTGTGCCCTCTCTTCTTATCACTTTCCACTCTAGTTCTCTGTGGCTGTGTCACTGACTCTGGGTAGAAGAGTCCCCAGGTCTTGCCACACTGCTGGTCAACCAGGTCTCCTTCTGGGTTCACAGGAATCTATTGAACATTGTAGGGCTTAGCTCTCGCAGCTTCATTGTTGTTTTTCCCTCACTTTCCCTTATTTGTGATGACCGTGGTCATTAATCAGAGTGTGTATTCCCATTGAGTCTTAATCTTGGGAGGGGGTTTGCTCTAAGGGGACCCGACCACTTGTCTTGATGTCTCCTGGGCAGGCAAGTTGTTTGTTCTTGTAGTAATCAGTCAGTCTGCCTATATTGTTTTGTATTTTTCCTGTCGGTCTTTCTTTCAAGACGTATCTTCTGTTCTTCTAGCCGCCCCAGGCTCGTCTGCCCGCCCTTTCAAGTGGAAATTTCCCACCTCTGAAGATTCTGGATGCTGTTCAGGATTCCATCTATGGTCTTATGTAATGCAGAGGCTCTGCAGGAAGCCTCCTTCACTGGGCATGTTGTAGCCCTGCCTCTACTGCCTCTTATTGGTACATGTTATTGTCACAGTTTTCCCTTCCTCTCAAACCTTCTGGGGCTTCTGTCATTGGGGTTATTCTCCATCAAACCTCTTGTATGGGATTGGCAAGTATTTTCAGCATTGATTTGAGCTTTCCTTGGGGCTCTCCAGCTACCCTGCTCTCTCATCTCTGGGAAAGCCCCTCCTGGGGCCCTTAGCCTTCTAGAGTAGGGTATGGCCCTTGCACTGGAAAGGTTATGGCTTGTGTAATTTTGTGTCATATTCTCTCATTACTCAGCTTTGAGCAGGTTTGAGAAAGTTGAAGTAGGGTCTTTCAGGGAACTGTAATCATTGAATCATGACTCAAATGGGTGGAAATTGGTTTTATAAAATGAATTTTTTCATCATAAAAAAGAAAAATTTAAACATTAATGACTTTTGCCCATAAATTAAGAAACATTCTTCAGTTTCACATAACACAGGAGATTTCTGTTTGTCAAAAACATTTACTTGGAAAACTTAACATTTGCTCATACAAGGAACACCACTAGTAAGCAAGACTTCAGGGGCTCTCGCATAACCTAGTCCAGAGAGAAGCCCAGTGCTTAACTCTCAGCCTCCACTTCTGACTTACCACCAACACAGCCCAAAGTCTCCTTCCCTTACTGGTCTAGTATCTCATCTAGGCTTTTTGCAGGCACACTTTTAGGCCCATTTTCATGGCATACAGCCTGTTCACACATATGCCCAGCAGGCCCTCTAAGTTGGAATGAATGACAGAAGCTTAATGTGCACATGCATGAGTGATTGTAGCGTGTAAATTCTCCTCTTCTCTTTCCATGAACACAGAGTACAGAGTGGAGAATATCCCAACTGATTGAGCTTACCAGTGGGACATGTGAGCATTATTGACCCTCTTCTCATCCCACACTATAGAAGTACTTAGATAAGCAGAGTTGAACTTTGATAGTTTCTATTTTTTAGACTAGGGAAATGAAACACAGAAACTGCCTGAGTATTATAAATGAACAGGAAGGGAGAAGGCCTAGGAGGCTACATAGGCCACTTTCTTGGGATCTCCCCATTCCTTCCAGCCTTTGCTGGGAGCATGTTTTTGCTGATTATAGACCACTCAGTGAGCCCTTTCATATGAACTCCGTTTCAAAGGAACTTTTTATCAGATATACTCTCTTGGGCTTATATAGTAAGATCAACTTCTCTGTTATCAGAACCCATTGTAACCAGTGGGGAAGAATAAGCAGTTCTTGAATGGATTCAGGGTTCTTTCATGGCTCCAGGAAGGCAGGAGTACTGGGTTCCAAGAGAAAAGCTACCTTGGCAGCAGAAGGAAGGCAGAAAGATGAAGACTCAGGGGAGGGACAGATAAAGATATTCTAAATCTCAGCACTGCTATCACAACTGCCCCAGAAACTTGGCCTCTCCTGGCTTTTCCTCCACATACTCCTAGCATCTCTATTATTGACCCAGTCAACTGTGATTCTCTGTTCGTTTCCTGTATACCCAAGTGGATTGATTGTAGGTTCAGCTGAGTCATTCTGTTCTCTCTCCAGTGGTGTGGTTTTAGTTGATTAGTCTAGGAACCTGCTTTGAGTTAGAATGGGCTCTGCATCACAGAGGGTGAGCTATTCCAGATCAAACTTAAGAAACTGCTAAGAAACAGGGTTTGACCCATTGATAATTGGGGCAAGAGGAAAGGGACAAGGATGAGAGATGAAGAGAAGTTGTACAGAGGCCTTAGGCTTCTGTTCACCTGGAATACAGACTATCAGGCCAAATCAGCCTTCTTTGTGAGGTGAACTTGTGCTCTCCTGCCTGAGAGTTTTCTGTGATCCACATTCCTTTAAAGAATAATAAGTCTGTTGTTTACAATATATCATATACATACAGAGATACAAAGACTGCAGACTAGAGTCCTAGGTCTTTGCCTTCCTTTGCAGCTTTTTGTGTGTTTTTTTCAGGCGCCCTGGTGGCTCTGTAGAATGTTAAGAACTGGACTGCCAACTGAAAGTTCAGTAATTCAAATCTGCCAACCACTCTGTAGGATAAAGATGAGACCACATTTATAGCCTCAGAAACCCTGTGCAGGATCACCATGAGTCAGAATCAACTCGATGGGAATGGGTGGGCACTGTGATTAGAGGAATCCCTAGTCGGTGCAACTTTTGTACCATCCCTATGGGGGCAGGAGAGTAGAATACATGTGTGACAGAGATATGTCAAAGCATGTATCTATTAGAGTTTATAGGAATTATGGGATTTGAGACATTGGTAAGGAGTTTTAGAGTTGGCTTTGGTTCCTGCCTAAAAGAAGGAAACCAAGGGGGAAAGGTGTAGATGGGGATGCGTTTATACCATCAGCACATTCTCCCCACTGTGTGCAGAGTTAGCTGTCAAAGCCCTAGCCCTACCAGCATTCAAGTATAATCCCTCAAGGCTGTCAGAGTACCTTAAAACTCTTGGTCCTGGCTCACTCAGGATAACTGGGAAAGCCCGAGGAGCAGCAGGGGTACAGATTAGGGTAGTGACGCCTGCAAGACAGATAAGCATTGATCCCAATGGGAGAGAAGACCTGTTATATTGGGAGTTGCTGTTGGCAGGCAGAGTGCCGTTAGCCCTTCTTGGAGCCCTCGTCACCTAAATGACCAGTCCCCCATTGGGCAGCCCTTGGCAGGCTAGCCAAAATTCTGCACAAAGCTCAGCTTCTTAACCAGCCTCCACTGAACTGCCTGCCATGCAGACCTTGCTCTGTGTCCTTGGCTGAAACCTGCCCAAGCAGCACTTACAGCTGGAAGAGGGACTGATGTGTGCCTCCTTGAAAGCTGACAGTGTGGGTAGGCAATGTGGGTAGCTCACTGGAAAGCCAGGGACTTTGTAGTAGACTGGCAAATTGGGGTCTATTTAAAATTCTCTTGTTTGTTTCAATCTTTTTAATTGGTCCTGCAGTTTCAATCCATATGGCACTAATTTCTTCAGAAGATGGAAATAATATGCTCTTGTTTGAGAAAAACGGCCTCAAATTAAACAGTGTTGTCTTTTTCCCAGATGCTATTTCAAATAGTGTTTTAAAATATATAGTCCTTTTAAAGATTCATACTGAAATATTATGGGTGAAATTATATGATGTCTGAGATTTGTTCCAGAAACTGTAGAGGTGGGGAATAAGTGGGATATGAATGATACAAGCAAGGTAAGTTATGAGTTGATCATTATTGAGGCTGGGTGATGGGTACTAATAGTTCATTCTGTTTTTCTATATGATTGATACTACAGCAAGATTTTTAATTATTTTTTTAAAGTTGGAGAGAAACTATCAAGTAAGCTGATAATTCAAAATCTAGCCAAGAGAGAAATCACTGTGTTAAGAGAAGAAGGAAATAGGCCATAAAAAATGAATAAACAAAACCTGTTGTAAAGTCAACTTCAACTCATAGCAGCCATATAAGAGAGAGTAGAACAGCTCCATAGAACATCTTTACTGAAACAGACTGCCACGTGTTTCTCCCGCGGAGTGGCTGACGGGTTCAAACTACCATCCTTTCAGTTACCAGCTGCCACTGTGCCACTAGGGCTCCTTGAAATGGGCTAGACTACCCTTTAATGAAGGCTACTGCAATTTCTCCCATATTCCCCTTTGTAGAACCTGTCACTATTACAGAGCCACACCACAGAAGTATCCTTGGATCTATTTAAGCATAGATCAACTAAGTTCTAGTGTATGGTGTGAATCTTCCCATAAAAGAAATTGTCAGACCCACTACCAAGTCCCTGAGTAGTCACTTCCTACTTGGTCCCAGGCTAGTTTTGAGTTCAGATGGTCTTAGCTTAGAAGTCAGTATCTGCTTCATGTAACTCATTAAATTAATAAAGGTTAAATACATCTTCATTGCTTGTTTGCTACATGCCTAATACAGTTCTAGGCTCTGAGCATAAAGTAAATAAAAATAAAGAGTTTGTTTCTACCCTCATGCAATTTATCATGTCATTAGGACTAAGACAATAAAAAAGTTAATTTTTTTTTTCATAAAAATAAGATCACTTGGGAGACATGGGGCAAAGAATGGATGAGAAGGTGCCTGTGGTTGACAGAGTGATCAGGGAGTACTCTTAGAGGTAGAGACATTTGAACAGAGACTTGAAAGATATGCCTGGAGCTCAAAGACCACAGTGCTGAGTATCATACTTCACAAATTGATTTTGAGCATATGTATAAGTTGGAGCTAGCAGAAGGTCTTTCATTATGTCCTCTGATGTGTTTGATGTGGACATGAGCCATTCTGAGGATAATTGAAGTGCTAACGCCTTGTTCCTGTTTATGACACAGAGCTGGGAATTTGGGATTCCACTGTGCAGGGAGCTGGCATGTCAATACGAGAGCCTCTATGATTATCAGAGCCTCAGCTGGATCCGGGTAAGTCTTGCCCCTCCTCCACCCCATCCGTGCCACAAGGTACCAACTCTTCCTGGCATTAGTTTCTGAGTGAGCATTAACAATAGGCCCTGCCTTTGATTTCATGCAGTAGAAGCAGAGGCCAAAGGTGCCTGCCCTCAAGACATTGTCTGAATAAAGGACCAATCATCACACATCCCTACCATAGAGTTACATGGAAAAAGGGATATCATTGCTGTTGTCAAATGGATCTTGGCTGAAAGCAGAGAATACCAAAAAATGTTTACCTGTGCTTTATTGACTACACAAAGGCTTTTGATTGTGTGGATCATGACAAGTTATGGACAACATTGCAGAGAATGAGTATTCCAGAACACTTAATTGTGCTCATAAGGAACTTGTATATAGACCAAGAAGCAATCATTCAAACAGAACAAGGGGACACCAAATGGTTTAAAATGTGAAAAGATATCCTTTCCAGATCCGTATCCTTTCACCATACTTATTCAAAATCTGTATGTTGAGCAAATAATCCAAGAAGCTGGATTATATGAAGAAAAATGTGGCATCGGGATTGGACGAAGACTCATTGACAATCTGTGATATGCAGATGTTACAACCTTGCTTGTGAAAGCAAAGAGGACTTAAAACACTTACTGATGAAGATCAAAGACAACAGCCATTGGTATGGTTTCCACCTCAATATAAAGAAAACAAAATCCTCACCACTGGACCAATAGATACCATCAAGATAAATGGAGAAAACGTTGACTTTAAAGACTCCATTTTGCTCAGATCAAGCATCAACACTCATGGAAGCAGTAGTCAAGAAATCAAACGATGTATTGCATTAGGCAAATCTGCTGCACAACACGTATTTAAAGTGTTCATGAGCAAAGATGTTAGTTTGAGGATTAAGGTACACCTGACTAAAGCCATGGTATTTTCAATCATCTCATACATATGCATGTGAATGATGGACAGTGAACAAGGAAGACTGTAGAAGAATGAATGCATTTGAGTTATGTTGTTGGAGGAAAATATTGTAAGTATCATAGACTGCCAGAAGAACAAACCAATCTGTGTTGAAAGTACAGCCAGAATGCTTCTTAGAAACCAGGATGGCCAGAGACTTCGTCTATCCTACTTTGAACATATTGTCAGAAGGGACCAGTCCCTGGAGAAGGACATCATGCTTGGTAAAATGGAGGGTCATTGAGAAAGAGGAAGACCCCCAATGAAATGGATTGGTACAGTGGCAGCAGCAGTGGGCTTAAGGGTAGCAATCATTACTAGATAGGTGCAGGACCGGGCAGTGTTTCGTTCTGTTGTACATTAGGTTACTGTGAGTTGATACCAACTTGATGGCACCTGACAGCACCAACAACCAAAAAGTCATCTAGAACCCCCAAGGGCTGCTGGTAAGTGAGGAAGGAATACCAACATGGGCAGGATAGGGTGGTGTTTCAAAGAGAAAGTGGCTTCATGGAGAAGCATTTTTTAAAAAGCTTTTATTGTGAACTGAGTGATAGTTTACATGGGAGAACATCAGTTTTGCACTCATCCTATCGTATTTTATTTCACTGCAATTACAATCCCCTCCAAAGAAGCTTTTTCTGATAAGGCTTTGTTCAGGGATGCTTCACCAAAAAACAATAAGAGCTTTCCTTGCCTTGGCTTGTGGTTAATAGCCATTCCCTTTTGCCTTTGTCTATGTGGCTAATTCTCCTCTGCTCCCTGGTCAGAGATTCCAATTTGGACGTAGATGATAGGCTTGGTCCAATCTTTGAAAGCTGCTGCTCCCTGGCAGGCTAGATTGATTAAATGCATTAGAACTATCCTCCCAAAGTTTCGGTGAGTTGTTTGGAACCAGAAGCCAAGTCAGTCAAGACCAAAAAAACGTACCTACCTTGATAATGCCAGACATTTTGGGTATTAGTTGGCTTTAACAGTTTTAAATGCCTTAAACTGGGACTACTACCAGCGATACTATGGCAGCAGAATCTGCTTCACTCTGGCTGCACCTTTAGTCATGTATTGATGAGCAAGAGCAGATGCAGTTGGACTGATGAGAACTGGAGCTAAACATTGCTGTTAGCAGCTATAAGTGATACTAGACATGTGTCAACCCATGTAGTTATTGTCAGCCCAAACCAGGGATCCTTGAGCAGAAAATTTCTTGTGACCACAGTTATAGGAAGTCTTGATCTTTAAGGGACTGGTCCACCCACTGGCAAAGACCTTTGAGCAGCTGGGCAGCACTGGAGTGGCCAGGTTGTCCCCATCCCACTATCAACTGGTGATGGAGAAGGAGAGCTTCTTCTTCCATGATGCAGCTCCCTGGGAAAAGGCTAACCATGGCCAGGAGCCCACTTCCTTCCTACCTAGTTACCGTGATCTCTTTCCAGAAGACAGTGACCACTTGGGGTTGGGAAAACTTGCTTTGGACACTAATCGTCAAATCAGTCTGAAGGTACCTGCCTTACTCATTCACAGAAAATGGAAGCCAGCTACTATGACAACATCATGGAGCAGCAGCGCCTAGAGCCTGAGTTCTTTCGGGTTGGCTTCTATGGCAGAAAGTTTCCCTTCTTCCTTCGGGTGAGTCCATTCAGAACTTTTTATACACAAAATTCATTTATAGCTTGTATCTGTTCATCCTCCCTTCTTTCCTCCCACTCTCTGCCTTCTCTCTCTGATTGTACTGAATGTTTTGTTTAAAGGACTAACCTTCAACAGATGGTTTTATTTGACTGGACAGGCTGCTAGTTTAAGATTATTATTTTTAATATGCTGTATTATTCTATATGAGTGCTTGTGTAGTGCTGTAGGCTAAGCACTAACCATAAGGTTGGTGGTTCAAACCCACCAGCCACTCCTTGGAAACCCTATATAGAGTTGCTATGAGTTAGAACTGATTAAACAGCACTTAACAACAACATTATTCTGTAGTTAATATGCATGGTGGTGGTGGTATGCCGTGGAGTTGCTTCCGACTCACAGCAACCCTCTACAGGGTTTTTGAGGCTGCAAATCTGTACAGGAGCAGAAAGCCTCATCTTTCTCCCATGGAACGGTGGGTAGTTTCAATCTGCTGACCTTGAGAATAGCAACCTGATTCATAACCACTATGCTACCGGAACTCCTGAATATGCCTACAGAATACCTGTTATTCTATAGGAATGTATGAGGGTGGTTTTTTTTAACAAATCAACTGGGTTCCTGCAGGAAGTGACCAGGATCTGAGAATGTCCTACAGGTATGTTTAGAAACCTTCCAGGTTTTGCCACCAGTGCCTAGAATTTTCCATCATGCTATTTTCCGCCAGACTGGATGCCAGTACAGCCCTGACCTGGACAGTAGGCTGACTGTGGGGCTTGTCATCTCAGGTGGTAGCTCTCCCCTTGGCTGCACTGTACACTGTACAGCCAGGATGGAGATGTGAAGGCTGCCAAGCAGAAAAAACCTCTTTAGGGAGCCAGTTCTCTGAGTCAGGATGGTAACAGCCATTTTCGCGACCATTTCCTGGAAGGCTGAGCTGGACTATAAACAGAGTGGAAGGAATGACTGAGCATAATGAACTAGTCACACTGTTGGGGCTTTCTTCTTCAGCACCATACAGAAACTATGGGAGGAGTCAGGCTGGGCCTGTAGGCAGGAGCCCAGAAGGCATGGCTGTTCTCTGCTCACCTAAATGCTACTGTGTGCAAAGAGGCCCTGGGGCTGCAGCTGAGGCCTGAGAGAAGCTCAGATTGCCCCCAATCCAATTTCTTACTAAAGTTATAAGCAGTGTTCACACCAATAAAGGAGCTGCTGAGATAGTTCATAGGACCCCTTTGATATGCTGAGATCCCATCCTGTTGGAGAAATTGCTTTATCGAGTGAGCAATACAAGCTTGGTATGACATTAAGTGTCAACTGGGTTTAATGGCTCTTTTAGTACAGCCAGTCTGCTAGCAACAGAGTGCAGACTAACCACATTTCAGATGTAAGACTGGTCAACTTGTCCTTTTTCTGGGCAGTAATCATCCTAGGCTAAAAAGAAAAATGATTCGTATGGGATGTAGTGCTACTGGCAGGGACAGCAAGCACACTCTGCCTAATTGTGTTCCCCAGTTAGATTCTAGTTCTAGTAGAGGGACTTTCTCAGGAGTACTGGGCCTCCTTCACTCTCTAGTAACTACCTAGCCCAGGCAATTCAGAAGTGGATCACTAAGTGTCCTGTCAGCTCAGATTTAAAAAACAGCCATGTACCTTGTTCCTTTCTCATTTTGTTTTTTTAAGCTATGCTTTGTTGTCATTTTATTATCTTTGGTAAACCCACAATTTGTCATGAACCAGATTTTACTCCAGTACGTATAATTTTGGATATTATAAAACCAGGTCTCCATTTGTGCCCCCAGCAAGCAGGAGTACCATCCTGGTCTTCCCTCTCACTCCAGCTCCCTGCCTCATGTCAGGGCACGTCAGTGTCTCAGAGCTCGCAGAGCTTTCTGACAAATAGGGCCTGATATAGAACTTGTATCTGGGCCATCCAGATATTGCTCACAAGTAATAGTCTTAAATGTTCAAATTGGTTTTGAGGGGTTCTGGGAACAGAAGAGGAATAACAAGGGCATTAGGAAATGTTCATTCTCTGACAGCTATGACTTGTATATACAAATCCCTTTGACCACTTGCTGCCTTTCCTTCCCTCAGCTGCTGGGTCCATCTGTGCTAGATGGAGTAAGGTCCCAGTGGGTAGTTATTTGCCTTATAGATGGCAAGGAAAGGGTTCAAAACAGTGATAACCAGATCTGTCTCTTATGGGGATGCTTGAACTCTTGCCCAGGTGAAGGTGAGCGTAGCAACCAGCCTCAAGGTCATTGCTGTGTGTCTTCTCCAGAAGGCTAGGCTACTCCCTCACCATCCCTGAACACACAGGCCATCTATTACTTTAGCTTTATCACCTTGGTTCCTTTGGATCATCTGCTTTGCTGTTCCTCACAAATATGATTATCTACTAATCTGCAAGGAAAGGAAAACATACAGTCCTCCCTTCTTGGTGAAAAATTTCTATTTCTTTTCATTTGACTCATGAACAGACACTAGTGAGAGCTGTAAATATGTGAATGAGCATAAAAAGGCCACTTCTTCACAATTAACCTTCCTGACCAGTTCTGCTAACAACCTGAAGCCTGAGAAATGTCTGTCCTTTAACTCATAATGGTCTGTTCCACTGAAGAGCCTGGTCCTGCTGACGTTGACTTCCCTCTTGTCTTGCCCTTCCATTCTGACCCATTTGGACATGTTGCCCAGCCTTAGCTGAATTCTCCCATAGCATAAGGGCAGATGAAAAAGGGAGCAGAAATCCTGTGCCTGAGAAGGTTGACGTCCTCTGAGGCCTGACTTGTGTTCAGTCCTGACCTGGAAAGCATTTGGCCCTGTGAGCTTCTCCCTTTTTCTGAAAACACATTAAGAGCGGCTGCCAGTGCTGACATTCCAGCAGCTGGACAGACAGGCAGATGTCACAGTGGGCTGCAGAGGGATTTCCACCAGCCACTCACTTGAGACCATCTGTGAGAGAGGCAGAGCAGCACGATGGGAGTGCTTTCTCATGACTTCATTCCCCAAAGAGAAAAACTGAGGCCTAACCCAAACCAAATGTGGTGTAACATAAGGTTTTGACGAAGAATGAAGTCAGTTTGTTCTGTTGACACATTTACAAAGGAATTTGTTGCCAGAGAGGTTTATGAATGCACTAAACCATTACTGAATACCTCCTGGGCTCTGAACAATATTTAAGCTGTTGTTCCCGGCTAACAAAAGTGATCCTTCAAAAACACACACCGGATCACTCCCCTACATAAAATTATTTCTCGGCACTCATGGCATCAATCACTTATTGGCACACAGTGTCTCTGTGACTGGTCCCACAGGCCTCTTCAGCCTTCCTTCCACAGTTCTCCACATGCACCTTCTCTCCATCTGCACTTTCTCTTGTCTTTGTTACCCTGGCTGTTACTGCATCCATGTGAGTTGCCCTTCCCTCCTTTTCTCTACCAAGCTAACCCAGCTTCTCTTTTCAGGACTCTTCCAAGCATGGCTTTTTCAAAATCCCACCCCAACCTTGCACCTTTTCCTGGATGTGGTGCCTCTACCATCTCTGAGCTTCCCTACAACCTGTGCCCCACCCTCGTGGCTGTCCTACCACATTACAGTTCTCCCTTCTCCAGCATTATTTCCCTTGGGGCAAGTGCTGTGTCCTTCGCCTGCCAAAGGACACAGTACAGAGTGGGCTCCCAGAATATTTGTGGGATGAACAACTGTTGACTCCCGAATGAGGTGGGTAGCTGTGAGGCACGACATAGTATGTGCTCTCGTGTCTGTGGCAGAACAAAGAATATGTGTGCCGAGGCCATGACTACGAGCGCTTGGAGGCCTTCCAGCAGAGGATGCTCAGTGAGTTCCCACAGGCCGTCGCCATGCAGCACCCCAACCACCCTGATGACGCCATTCTTCAGTGCGATGCCCAGTGTATCTTTTGACATTCAGTGGGGGAAAGGCCCTGAGGCCCTGGGAGGTGAGACCCATCTATCTAGTCAGCTGGTCCTTGACATTTTTTCAGTCAGCCGTAAGTCCTAGGCCAGGATGTGTCCTCAACACAGAACACACACTTAGCAGGGCACTTATGCCTTATAGAGGAGCTAGTGACATGGTGACAGAGTTATTAGCAAGCCTGAGAAAGAGAAGCTGTATCTCTCAGACAGGCTCTGCCTGCAATTTAGTCCCCACCTTGCCCTGTGACAGTCCTGTCCAGAGGGCTGGGAGTAATCATTGTGAATCAGGAGAAACCTAGGGCTTCTGCCCTAGGGATACCACCAGTGCTCTGCTCCATTCCCCTATACCTTGTTACCTTCCCTAGTTTTTAGTAGACTGGAACAAAGCCCCAGGGATGAGGGCTGTAGGGAATGGCAAATACCTGTGATATTAGTGGCACTTCTGAGTCTGAATGTAAACATTGGCATGCCCCTCAGTCCCTTACATAGTCTCCCTGGAGACCAGATGACAGTTGCCATGACTGCGGCAAACTTGCTCCAGAGAGGTGAGAACAAGGGGACTCCTGACTGCTCTCTACACAATGGCAGTGAATGGTATTTTATTCCATGGTTGCTTTGTAGTAAATATAATTTTCCTACAGTAGGCAGGACTCTCTCTTTTCTACTTTAAGCATCCACATTCACCTGACCTCCTTCCCCTTCTTTCTTAAAGAGGTTTTGGAGAACACTTAACTGTTGGCATCTCACCTTGGCTGAGTGCTCATAAGACTCACCACTGGAGCGGGGGATAGAAGGATAGAATGGGAGATTTGATCTAACTGTGCCTGCATCTGATCTGCCCCTTGAGATGCCCCACCTCCCCTGCTGCTGGCAGCAAGAAACAAGGTCACAAAGAACTTCTCTCTCCCTTATGAGGACAGCAGAGGCCAGCCACTCCACATCCTACTCTTCAGCAAGTCTGGGTTTTCCTTCACTTCTTACCCAGACTTACAGATCTATGCAGTGACACCCATTCCAGATTATGTGGATGTCCTGCAGATGGACAGGGTCCCTGATCGTGTCAAAAGTTTCTACCGTGTCAACAATGTGAGGAAATTCCGTTACGACAGGCCTTTTCACAAAGGCCCAAAAGACAAGGAGAATGAATTCAAGGTGAGCAGATCGAGGAAAGCAGGGCCAGTGCCCACAGGGAGCCCAGGGCAAGCTCCACTTTCTCAGGATGCCATCACTGGTGTGTCCCTCAGGCAGGTGGGATGTACCAGATTTACCAACAGCCTTCATTTGCCTGTGTCCTCCCTGCAGAGCTTATGGATCGAGCGCACTACACTGACCCTGACCCACAGCTTACCTGGCATCTCTCGGTGGTTCGAAGTAGAGAGGAGGGAACTGGTGAGACATGTCTTGGTTGGGGCTGAGCTTCACAACTGCTCCCTTGGCTCTAGTTATGGGAACCCCTTTCTTAAGGACTGAAGAAAGAGCGAACTTAGGCTACCTGCCTGGCTTAGATTCCCACGGGCCAGTGCTGTACTGGGGGCTTTGTGCATCATCTCATATTTAATCTACACAATACCCCTGAAGGCAAGTATTTTTAATGTCCCATTTTACAAATGAGGAAACTGGTTTCTGAGATTCAACAAGCCATAGTCCTCTGACTTCAGAACTGGTGCTCTTTATAATTTGCTGTACTTCTAAGTGCCTAAAACCCAAAAAAGACCTAGTTAGGGAGTCTCCAGTCCACAGGAGCAAGGAAGAAGAGTCCACCTTGCAGTGTGAGTCATCAACAGTTACTGTCCCCTCTAGGATGATTCTGTGTGCTGTGTGCCCCCAGGTGGAAGTGAGCCCTTTGGAGAATGCTATCCAAGTAGTTGAGAATAAGAACCAGGAGCTGCGTGCCTTGATTAGCCAGTATCAGCATAAGCAGGTGCACAGCAACATCAACCTGCTCAGCATGTGCCTGAATGGTGTCATTGATGCTGCTGTCAATGGGGGCATCGCACGCTACCAAGAGGTGAGCCAGAGCCCTAGACCACACCTACATAGACAGCTGGGCTGGGAAGGCTTTGGAGGAGGCCCAATCTCTCTGCCACTCTTGAGTTCTGTTCAACACCTCTGTAGTAGGGCCTTTTCTTCTGTTTTGTTTCTGAACCCTAATGGCTGGTAACCCATCAGATTATGGGAGGATGTTGGTGGCCTCCAAGAGGAACCCTGGAATCCAGCCAGCCCTTTGTGAGAAACAAGTTATGGGCTGGCTGAGAGACCACCTCTTTCTCCCAGACTTCCAGTTGTGTCTGCCCTGCCTAGTAGGCCCCCATGAGGCACTGGGACAACATCTAGGCTTAGACGGCTTGGCCCTTCTCAGTCACAAAAGGCACAGCTCTGACTGAAGAATATTCTGAGTGACGGGAATGTGTGATCCTGTGAGGAGGCAGCACCTTCAAATTCAAGCCTCCTGGGCCCCATCTAATTAGTAGTCCTGGGAAGTCTGCCTGACTTGGCTTTTTCTCTCACAGGCCTTCTTTGATAAAGATTACATTACCAAGCACCCTGGGGATGCTGAGAAGATCACCCAGCTCAAGGAACTCATGCAGGAACAGGTATGCCTGGCAGGGCCTGGAGGCCAGCAGCCTGGCAGGGGAGGCCATGCACCATGGGATGGCTGCTGCCAAGTTAACAGAGTAAGTCTGTTACTCTCATAGGTCCATGTCCTTGGCGTCGGGCTGGCAGTACATGAAAAGTTTGTGCATCCAGAAATGCGCCCTCTGCATAAGAAACTGATTGATCAGTTCCAGATGATGCGGGCCAGCCTCTACCATGTAAGCTGATCACATCTACTCCCCCACCCCATCCAACCCACCTGAATTAGACCCAGGCATCACTCCCTTCAGACCTATGTGACAAAACAAAGTGTTGCGGGCACAGGAGGGAAACATGAAGCAAGGGTGGGTGATGTACCTAGGGAATAGCTGCTCCCCTTCACATCCTTCCTAAGGAGGAATCAGATTTAAAAACAAAGCATATTTCAGGGCACTGTGCAAATGCGGAGAGGTTTCCTTAAGAGGAGGAAAAGAGCTAAAATAGATAGCTCACCTCGTGTGAGTATTTTTTATCCCAAAAACCTAGAAAAAGAAAGCATCTGCCCTCTCTCTCTCTCCATCTTCTTCCTTCCCCTCTCCCTCTATCTTTCTGTTTCCTCTTACTTCACCCTTCTCCTCTAACTCTCTTTCTTCCCTTCCACCCAACTTCCTCCAACATGTCTAGTGACCCAGACTCATGTCAGAGAAAGCCTAAGTAAGGTAGGAATACTTTCATGTTGGTTGTTCTTAAAGGGACCAGGCAGTCTAGGTCTGACTGACTTGGCCTAGCTCTTAGGCATCCACAGCAGGGTTAGGTTTAGGACTGATGTGACCAGAGAGGACTTGTATGCCAGAATAGATTTCCCTTGTGTGTGGGGGGGGGTGGTGGGGGTGGTGATACGTAGAGCTGGTTCCG